TCCATGACTGACTGACACCACTAAATTGCTAAAATGTTCCATGCACCTTGAGAAATTCTGAGAAATTACGAGGTTACCATCGCAAAAACGCGCGAACTCCGCTCATCCTGACGTCACAAAGCTAATATCAACAAACACGCGCCGTGTACCGGCCGCACTACAGTAAGGTGTGTTGCGCTGTTGCGAGGTGTTAGAACTATTTTGGGCGTGTTGGATCACTAGCAGATACAATACTAGTGAATATCGTGGTTGTATCCTGACTCTGACGTCATAATGACGTCAGCCGCTGCTTACTACATGTACGGGGGCAAGCAAAAACGCTCTGAGGGTTCACATCATCACATGTACCGTTATATGGAGAAATGAGCATGTACACAGGTGGGACATAGTGTTAGCCATCGAATAAAGTTGAAAACGAAAAATCAGTAAAATTTCATGCACAACGTGGAGAGTATCCTTAAGGATACCTACTCTCAACTGTTTTGCACGGGTACTATTGCTCTAATGAATATTATTATTAAACGTTTATTGACAAATGAATCGAATCAATTACACGTTTTATTTATAGAAGAGATATATCTCTATGCTCAAGCCAAAAAAATGCATGAAATTTCGGTTCAAGGATAGAGAACATGGGTCCCAATAAAACCAATGTAATTTACATCAATATAAATATAAATTATAATATTACATCAATATAATAGGTTAGGGTTATGGTTAGGGTTAGGATTAGGATTAGGGTTAGGGTTAGAGTTAGGGTTAGAATTAGGGTTAGGGTTAGGTTTAGGCACATTGGTTTTATTGGGACCCATGTTCTCTATCCTTGGGCCGAAATTTCTAGCACCTAATTGTGTTACCACTAGTGATGTCCCGATGATCGATTATAATCGAAAATCGATCGATTATAGTTTCAAATTCGATAATCGATTATGAAAACAAATAATCGATTATCAGAAATACCAAAACAAACAAACAAGGATTGAAGGAACTGTACTCACGATGTGTGAATTGATATGACAAGTAGAGCACAAGTCCTGCAGGGGCCCGTTGTCAGAAACATCGTAAAGTTAATGCTACGATAACACTTACGACTAATGTTAATGCTACGAGAGTAGCGTTGACAGAAACACATCGTAGCTACGAGCAAACTCACGATAACAGGAACTTCATAATTTCATGTTACAAGGCTGGTGATTGCATGAGAATCGATCACAAAATTCAAATTCATACACATTTATATTGTACATCACAGTAATTTATGCATATTATGATGGCTAACCACATATAAATAATATTTGATGAAAAATGACGTGGTCATGAATTTATTCTGCACAACAAGACAAATTCTCACACTGTAACACGAGACGCGAGAGTTGTGGCAAGCATGGCAAACATTTAAAACAGGAGAACAAATGCCATACGCCATTTGTAAATGTATTGCAGGCTTTCAGATTTGAAAAGTTCAGGAGGACTACTAATGACTCCCCTAGGACACCATAGGGGGTCTTTTCACGCTCCA